AATTAATTAATTAAGCAATTTTTATTTATAAATATTGTATTAATTTTATATTGCTAATTTAGAACATTTAATATTAATCTTTCACCATGTGGATATTAGTTTAGTAATGATTAACCGTGTTATCGAGTTTTTTTTATAAGGCTTATATATATATATATATAAACTGAAATGCAAAATTTTTACCACTTATTTAGAGAAAGAATTGATTTTGATAAACTTCATATTATATATATATCTATATTTTATACATATGCAATTATATTTTTGAGGAAATATTGTAGAACGCGAACAATTTTGTTATTTTTCCAAAATATATTTTACCTTTATTGACATTCATTGATGTTCACTGAGTGAGAATTATCATTAGACTGCAACGCTCTCCGAGTTATACCAAATCGCTTTATCTTTGTGCTTGCTCAGTAAAAGAGCATAACCAGGATTGGACAACCACTAATTGCCAATATGTCTATAACCCCTTTTAAATGTAATAGTAATACGTGTAGTACGTAATCATATACGTACCATGACAACCACGATAGACTGAATCGTAAATATAGCACTTGCTTCCCGACTATAAGCAAGCTGAGGGGATTCAGTTTTCGTATAGAAGAGTTCAAGGTGGGCTTTGTTTGAAATTCAACTCCAGAAAATAAACACATTATATCAGTCGCTCTTTGTACGTGCAGTTGTGCGTTTCAAAACGGTTCAATGATAAAATAATGATTATTAGGAGGAAAAAAAGAAGAGCTAGACAAGTTAACATAACACATATACATGCATTATATATGCCTCAGATGCATTCATAACAAGAATAAGAAAAGAGAGAATACTCCTCCAGAATATTATAGATATAAAACAGATAGGGGAGAATATACATATTACATTATAGAAGATCAAATTTATTAATAAACGCTATACGTACGTGTCTACGGCGGCAAAATTAAAGAGAGAATAAATTATTAAAAAGGTTCCTTTGTAAAAATTGTCGATGTTGCTATGCGATACTTGAGAAAATCAGAGCATGGAGTGTTACGAAGTGTTCCGATATATGTGTATCAAGTGAAAAGTTGTTTTTTGATTTGTGTGTTTATAAAAGATTATTTTGTGATATTGAAGTGTTAGTGTTAGAATATTGTTAATTAAAATTTTTTATTTACCTTTTTAGTTCTTTCTACATTGCCAGATGTAAATAAATAAATAGTTCTTTATAAGTAATACATTGATGTTTTTATCGTCTAAACAAAATAAAAATTAGACATAGAAAATAAGTTATTTATATTTAATATGCACCTCGATCGATTTGACGGGCACATTTATCTCAGAATAATACGCTTTCTTTTAGCTAAAAACATTATAATGAATTACATAATATGTGCGCGCATTGAAAATTTCCAGGTGTACCTGATCAGATGCTTGTGTCGTATAACGATCGCAGTTAGATCTTTTCTAAATTTCAAGGAAGATATGGATTTGTTGCCTAATTCGCCGATTAAATTGTTGAGCGTGCTTCGTAGGTTTATTAGTTGTGCGCATATATGAAACATGAATGTTGAGATGAAGCTGTCGACGCTATAGTTGCCGAGAATTGCATATGTGCTACTGCAGATTTGAATAAAACAGGTGATTTCATAATTCGGACTCTTTTGAATGTAGTCGAACCGATAGACAAGATGTCGTCGAGGCTGGTGTATGTTTCGTATGACAGCCCCAATACGAACAAAATAAGCAGATAGGATTGTGCATATTGCAGCTATGAAATATCCAAAAGATAAATTTCTGCCATTTCTTGTTAGCTTCAACATTGTACTTCGTTCCCAATTGCTCTTCGAAGTTGCCCAATCAGTCATAACCGATGCTATTAGTATTCGAAGTTCTTTTAAATTAAACATGACTATATTATTACTAGTATAAATGTAAACTGGCAAAGCAAGTTATTTTTATATAAAAAGAACTATCATACAATAGCAGTCTTAGACTTTAATAAGGAAAATTTAACATTAACATTTATATTACTTATGATAAATACAAATCTACTTAATATTTTTATTTCTGTAAAATGATAACTTACTCTCGCCGTGATATCTGGTATAAATCAGCTTCCACAATGCCATCAAGAAAAAATTGGCGGCTACAAAGGCATCCATCATTCGATTCACGTTACCCCAAGCACGGATCAGATTTATCATTTGTGGGGTGAATACATAAATACTCATAATACAAATAATTATTATGAATCTTATGCTTGGCCAACGAAAATCATTCAAAGAGATATGTGGATCGGGCCATATGCCAAATAGCCGCAAACATTGGCGGCTCAAGTTAAATGCGTAATTTAAATCTAATAAATTATTCATATTTTAGAAGAAATATCATTACTTATAATAACATAAAAAAAGAATATTATTTTTTTTTTAAATATTATTTTTGCAAATTTCTTTTTTTATATATATGAGAGTATAATTTTTTATATGTAAAGTGTATATATATATATGTTGAATTTAATTATTATATATATGTTAAATTTAATTATTAATTTATTGACACATCTTTAAAAGCTATATAATTTTTTTTATTCATATTTTATAGTTATACATAATTAGTTTATTATTACAATATTAATGTCTATTTAGACATTTTTAATAAACTGCATTTGCAAAATCTTTTACAATACTGTATTTTGAAAATAGTGCTCCATCTTTCTTTTTCTTGCGTGTGTAACTCAATAGTATACATGTATATATGTATATTTGACATGTATATATACAATTTTACATAACAGTTTTAAGCAATTTTATATACAATGCTTTTATTTGTGAAGTTTATCGTATATTCCTATAAAATCGTAGATATTGTTACGATGAAATTATTATATTTTATAATAGCATTCAGTTTATTTGTTTTAATTTTTAAAATTTTATTATGGACTGGCATAAGTGATTCATAAATGTTAAAAGTTAAAAATGTTCAATCTTACTACTGAAAGCACTTTGATTCAATTTGTATGTCGAAAGTAAAAATTTTTTGTTGGGGTACAAAGTTTAATATTTACTCTGGCAAACTTTCGTGAAATTCTATCGAATTTTTGTGAAGTTCTATCAAAGATCTATATTGTAAAATATTATTATATGTACACACAATAAATTTCGTACAAAATATTTCTTATTTAATGAACATTTAATAAATAATGTATTGTGAATATCAATCAAAAGCATAGTTATTTGAACAGAAAAAATATTTTTTAAATATTAATTAAAAGTAAATATATATAATGTAAAAGGATAACCAGTAAAATATAAAATATAAGACAGCATTATATATATTAAATTAATATAAGATGTAAAAAATTAAATAAAGACAACATATATTGTTCCCGAGATGTACATAATTTGTTATATAAAGAGAACAATTTATTTAATGAGCAATTAATTAATTATGCAATTTTTATTTATAAATATTGTATTAATTTTATTTTGCTAATTTAGAAACATTTTACATTAATTTTTCATCACTTAGATAAACACGTTTAGATAGCAGTTTAGTATTAATTTATCGTAATCGAATTTTTGTTTTTATAAAATTTAAACTGAAATGCAAAGTTTTTATCACTTATTTAAAGAGATAACTTGATTTTAATAAACTTGATATTATATATACAACTATATTTTACACATAATGCTATTATATTTTTTTGAGAATATTGTAGTGCAAATTTTGCTATTTTTCCAAGTTATGCTCTACCTTTGTTGACATTCATTGATGTTTACTGAGTGAGAATTATTGTTAGATTGCAACGCTCTTCGCGATTATACCAAACCGCTTTGATTTTGCGCTTACTAAGAAAAAGTATGTAATTAGTTACAATGTATTTTTTTAAACAATTATTTATATCCTAATATATATTTACATCCTAAAATAAAAATTGTTACATTAGCAAAATAAAAAATGAAATATTTTTTAAATTAAATATTTTTGAAATTATTTTTACATATTGTATCATATTTCTTATTTTTATTAGACTGCATATATAATTAACTATAGATTGTAATACATCATATATGTAACAGACAAAATGATAATTAATGACAAGAGCAACTGGACATGGAGAAGACACATTTATCAAAAATATCCGCATTTATTATTCATTACGGATTGTGTTTTACCAAATCAATCTTTTGATTGGTTGAAAATGCGTGAATTTTAAACACGGATCGGCATGTTATAAAAGTCTTATTTTGTGCGCAGATTATACACTTTATATACAACGAGAAGAAACTCTGGGGATCTCTCTCTCTCTCTCTCTCTCTCTCTCTTTCTCTCTCTGGGGATCCAGAATATTAATTAAGTTTGATGATATCTTGCATATCTTGCTATAAAAAGTTTTTTTGAATAAAGTACATAATTCTTATGACAACACATAATCTCGTAAACGTATCGATGAAACCCAGAAATGTAAACATTTTTTGTTTGCTTCGGTTTTTAGTTCGAGTCGTTGAACATTGAAGAGCTTGAAATTACACTGGAAAAGATAAAAAGATCTGTAATTTTATTCCATTAATGATCAATTTTTGGCTTAAGTGGCAATTTAATTTTTGAAATCAGGTATAGTATCTTTAGATGTTTCTAAGAAACGGAGAAAACAATCTTTTGCTTTTTTTATTTATCTCCTTAAATCTCTTTACATTGCTAGATATAGATAAATAAATAGCTCGTTATATTGCGCATACAGATGTGCATTTGTTCAGCAAAAATTGTTACAGGTATATGTATAAACCTGTTTATTAGAAAACGAACTGTAACCAATTATGCGCAATTATATAATTCGATATTATTTTAATATTATTATCTTTAGTCCTTCATTGTCAGCAACGCAGATAAGTATCCCATCGATGTTTTTACTGTCTAAACAAAATAAAAATTAAACATAGAGTTTAGTTTTATTTTTAGAAACGAAAATAACAATGTGGATCATTTGAAATATTCGTGAATATTTTACGTATGTGTGAAATATACTGGTAATAAATCTGCTGTTTCTTCGATATTTTACGTTTTTTTGATATTTTAGGATTCAATATATTTCACCAACGATTCGACAATTTTCTGTCCAAGATATATCGTTGTTCAAACGCAATATGTTTCACATTCTCTGTTTCTATATAATTTTTATGTGAGCCTCTTTATAAAATATTATAGTTGTATTTAATTTAGAATTAAAATTTGATTAGATGAGATTAGTTAAGTTAGACTATATTAAATTGGAATTAAAGTGAAAGTTTTAATATTTTATACGTGATAGATCGATTCATTTTGATAAATTTAAATATAGAAATAGTAAAATATGAATTGTCATATACTATGAAAAAATTTAAACAGTAATATTAAATTTATTATTAAAGAAATATTAAATTTATATAAAAAATTGCCATGAACGGTAAATTATCTTACACAAGAAATTATTGGACAAAAATGTATCGGACGGGAAAATGACACACACACATATGGTGAAGTATCTATAAACTAAATATGATATACGCGCGCAATATATATCTCTGCATGTTTAAATATCAATATCTCTAAAACGAAGCGTTCGCAAACATACCTCCAAGATATTATCTCATTTTGATATCTTTAACTCAAATTATAAGTTTAGTGACAGATTAGAAGACAATAATATAAATTCAAAAATACTTTTTTCCTGAGATATAAATACTTTTTGTTTAAAATAGAATTTGACGAAAGAATGCTTATCAAGTGAGTTGTGTATCAATATTATATTATCATTTATTTTTTGTTAAAAACAAACAAATAATGATCATGCTTGTATGTGATCTCTCGAATTAGAGATAAAAAATGTTTCATTGGAGATATATATGCAACATAATGTGTTCTACATATGATGTAACACATTTAAGGCGCACTGCTTGAGAGATTTTTAATAATAATGGTGTCGATCAGTGAGTTGATGAAAGAGAATATCTGCGTAATCTGAACGATTTTCTGATTTAGATCTTCCAAATTTTATTTATGAGAATAAAATTTTTTATGGTATTGTGACATTACTGTGAAAATATTTTTATATTATTGTCATGTGCAATAAAATTCAAGATATTCCGGAAACTTTAAACATATCTCTCTCTCTCTCTCTCTCTCTCTCTCTCTCTCTCTGATGATTCGTCATAAAATATTGATATAAAATATTTATTATAGAAGGGAAGCATTTCTAGCAATTTCTTCAACAAAATGTTGTTAAACAATTCTGTCGTAACCAGTAGTGATTATATTATTGAACGAAAGCGTCGTTTCGGATATGTGTTTATATATATGTAATGATCTCTTTTTATCATTTAAGATAACTGGACGTAAGATATATGCAAGAGATACGCTTCTACAGTTTGGTCTTATATTTCTAAAACACTCTCTACATAATCAAAAAATACGAATAAAATAATTTTTTTTGATAAACTTATAAAGGAATAATTATTTTTGTATGTGAAAAACATAAATATATCTTTTCTCATAGATATGGTAAATATGCATAAAAGTCACACCTGACCGATTTAATCGCCACTTATATATGTTGTAGGGGGTAGTGTTCTGAGTAATTCCCCGCAAGAATCAGGTGGCGGACGGTATTGATTTAGAAAATATAACAAATTGAAGTTTGACATTAAAGTTTGTGTATGCTGTAATAATTTGTTATTTTTTGATTGAAAAAAGCTGGTTACAACATTTACGCGTGGACGAGGGGGGGGGGGAGCGCCGCCCCTCCCCCTGCAGTCCCACCCCGAAAAAATTCTAACCTAACTCAAACATATTCTCAGTTTTAAAAGTAAAGTTGGGTTGAGTTAGATTAAATTTTTTTCGAGGTGGGGGTGCAGGCTCCGCCTCTTTCCTAATGTTACTTTATAATACCTGAGAAAAAGCTTTGAAACTGTAAAATTGGTCCATGGCATGTCACGTGACTGAGAATGATGTCACGTTATATGCCATGAACCAATCAGGTAATACTAGAAAGAGATGCCAAAATCCAAACGCACCTCTCTCTCTGCGAAAAAGTGGCGACAGCCAAACAATGGGATCGCCCATTCCAGTATTATAGAGTTCAATGCTCAGAACACTCTCCCCTACAACATATCTTGCTTGCTTCGTATGGGGTTGGCACCGGCGAATACTCGCCATACGGCCATAAACTGGTATAGGTATTATATAGGATAATATTTGAATAAACTATATACTATGAAAAAATTTAAACAGTAATATTAAATTTATTATTAAAGAAATATTAAATTTATATAAAAAATTGCCATGAACGGTAAATTATCTTACACAAGAAATTATTGGACAAAAATGTATCGGACGGGAAAATGACACACACACATATGGTGAAGTATCTATAAACTAAATATGATATACGCGCGCAATATATATCTCTGCATGTTTAAATATCAATATCTCTAAAACGAAGCGTTCGCAAACATACCTCCAAGATATTTTCTCATTTTGATATCTTTAACTCAAATTATAAGTTTAGTGACAGATTAGAAGACAATAATATAAATTCAAAAATACTTTTTTCCTGAGATATAAATACTTTTTGTTTAAAATAGAATTTGACGAAAGAATGCTTATCAAGTGAGTTGTGTATCAATATTATATTATCATTTATTTTTTGTTAAAAACAAACAAATAATGATCATGCTTGTATGTGATCTCTCGAATTAAAGATAAAAAATGTTTCATTGGAGATATATATGCAACATAATGTGTTCTACATATGATGTAACACATTTAAGGCGCACTGCTTGAGAGATTTTTAATAATAATGGTGTCGATCAGTGAGTTGATGAAAGAGAATATCTGCGTAATCTGAACGATTTTCTGATTTAGATCTTCCAAATTTTATTTATGAGAATAAAATTTTTTATGGTATTGTGACATTACTGTGAAAATATTTTTATATTATTGTCATGTGCAATAAAATTCAAGATATTCCGGAAACTTTAAACATATCTCTCTCTCTCTCTCTCTCTCTCTCTCTCTCTCTCTGATGATTCGTCATAAAATATTGATATAAAATATTTATTATAGAAGGGAAGCATTTCTAGCAATTTCTTCAACAAAATGTTGTTAAACAATTCTGTCGTAACCAGTAGTGATTATATTATTGAACGAAAGCGTCGTTTCGGATATGTGTTTATATATATGTAATGATCTCTTTTTATCATTTAAGATAACTGGACGTAAGATATATGCAAGAGATACGCTTCTACAGTTTGGTCTTATATTTCTAAAACACTCTCTACATAATCAAAAAATACGAATAAAATAATTTTTTTTGATAAACTTATAAAGGAATAATTATTTTTGTATGTGAAAAACATAAATATATCTTTTCTCATAGATATGGTAAATATGCATAAAAGTCACACCTGACCGATTTAATCGCCACTTATATATGTTGTAGGGGGTAGTGTTCTGAGTAATTCCCCGCAAGAATCAGGTGGCGGACGGTATTGATTTAGAAAATATAACAAATTGAAGTTTGACATTAAAGTTTGTGTATGCTGTAATAATTTGTTATTTTTTGATTGAAAAAAGCTGGTTACAACATTTACGCGTGGACGAGGGGGGGGGGGAGCGCCGCCCCTCCCCCTGCAGTCCCACCCCGAAAAAATTCTAACCTAACTCAAACATATTCTCAGTTTTAAAAGTAAAGTTGGGTTGAGTTAGATTAAATTTTTTTCGAGGTGGGGGTGCAGGCTCCGCCTCTTTCCTAATGTTACTTTATAATACCTGAGAAAAAGCTTTGAAACTGTAAAATTGGTCCATGGCATGTCACGTGACTGAGAATGATGTCACGTTATATGCCATGAACCAATCAGGTAATACTAGAAAGAGATGCCAAAATCCAAACGCACCTCTCTCTCTGCGAAAAAGTGGCGACAGCCAAACAATGGGATCGCCCATTCCAGTATTATAGAGTTCAATGCTCAGAACACTCTCCCCTACAACATATCTTGCTTGCTTCGTATGGGGTTGGCACCGGCGAATACTCGCCATACGGCCATAAACTGGTATAGGTATTATATAGGATAATATTTGAATAAACTGGTATAGGTATTATATAGGATAATATTTGAATAAACTGGTATAGGTATTATATAGGATAATATTTGAATAAACTGGTATAGGTATTATATAGGATAATATTTGAATAAACTGGTATAGGTATTATATAGGATAATATTTGAATAAACTGGTATAGGTATTATATAGGATAATATTTGAATAAACTGGTATAGGTATTATATAGGATAATATTTGAATAAACTGGTATAGGTATTATATAGGATAATATTTGAATAAACTGGTATAGGTATTATATAGGATAATATTTGAATAAACTGGTATAGGTATTATATAGGATAATATTTGAATAAACTGGTATAGGTATTATATAGGATAATATTTGAATAAACTGGTATAGGTATTATATAGGATAATATTTGAATAAACTGGTATAGGTATTATATAGGATAATATTTGAATAAACTGGTATAGCGGCGAATACTCGCCATACGGCCATAAACTGGTATAGGTATTATATAGGATAATATTTGAATAAACTGGTATAGGTATTATATAGGAGAATGTATGAAAACCTTTTTTGAAGCATATGGGAGGATGGGACCCGAGCGGAATCGAACCTGGAATCTTTCGATTACCAGCCTGCGACTCTACGCCCGGCGCCACGCATCGCTCCTACAACATATCTAAATGGCGACTAAATCGCTGAGTTGTGACCTTTTATGCATATTTACCCATAGATACTTACTGTTCCGAACATTTCTATCGAAAAAGTTCCAAATTTTCCAGCTGTCAATCTAAGCGGGATTCTAGATCCATATGCAATAAACATTAAATTTTTCGCGTCTTTTGCTGGTAGATTGTACCAGTTACATTCGTACACGCCATATGCCATACTAGTGCTCTGAAAATTATATTTTTGTTTGGTACAAATTGCGTTAGCATACAATAATTGTCTTACCTCCGTTAAAAGTCTTTCAGCCGAATAGCAATAAATATACAAGTGTGTCAGCACAAGAGTGATATAAAATGTAAGGAAAGCCACTTTGATAATGGATATGTCTAATTTGTCTGTTATTATCTAAAAATAATATATATTTTTCAGTTTAAGTGCATATAATAGTATAATTATACCGCAACATTAAAGTATTAAATGTATTATAATGTAAAAAATTTATAACTTTATATATAAATTTTTTTCCAATCTTTTTATTACAATATGCGAATATTCAAATAGAATGAAGGTAATTATTTGGAATAAGGCCTTTTCCAAAATTTTATATTTTCTTGCGGTTCTTAGGGTAAAAATCTTTGTTGTGACTCCAACAGTGATAATCAGTCGGGGGAGTCCGTTCCCCATCACCTCCACCCCCCAAAAAACTGAAAAACCCCAAAAATTACCAAAGCGAGATCCACCCCACAATTATTGTGTGGATGGGAAAGTGTATGCGTGGACGCAGTGGGTTCCGCCCCCCTCCCCTTACCGAGGGGGCACCACTTCCGGAAGATATAATTTAATCTAAACCTATTTCTGATTTAAAATTAAAAACTAAAATCATATTTGTCAAAATTCAGAAAAGGCCTTATTCCAAATAATTATCAGAATGAATATAAAACATACTTTTATATAAGTCGTCTAACTTACTGTGAAAACTTGAAAAGTTTCAAAACACAATTGAAAAGTAGCAGCTAGCATATGTACAAATAGCACTGCGCTATAACAGTCGTCGATTGTCTTGGCAAATCTTAAAAAATATTTTATTCCTTATACATTGTCGATTCCTTATATTAAAATTTTAATATATATATACAAATCTTACACCATAATTTAATTATAATTTTAAATAAAATTTAATTTTTTAATCCTTTTTATTCTTAAATCTGTTAGCCAAATTTTCGACACATAAAAACATATTAGAAGTTCTCAAAAAAGTTTTTAACAAAAAGATATTCGTTTGTGAGATATCATGTGATATCTCACAAACAAATTTGTTTCTTCTTATACATAAAAAGAAAAACACGAAAATGCTGAAATTAATATTTAAATATTTTATAAATAAGCTACTGTCATAACTGCTTATAAATTCATCATTTAGTGATTGTCGGAAGTCCTTTAGCATACCTAATGAGATGTTGGTGTCGTATAGCAATTGCAGTTAGACCTTCCTTAAATTTCAAGGACGATATAGATCTATTGGCTAATTCGTCAACGAGATTGTTAAGTGTCATTCGTAAGTTTATCAGCTGTGCACATACGTGCAGTAAGAGTATCGAGATGAAGCAATCGACGGTACAATTGATAATGGCCGAATATACGCCGCCAGAGAGTTGAATGAAAAAAGTGATTTCATAGTTTGGGCTCTTCTGAATGTTGTATGGATATGAGAAACGATATACGAGATTACGTTGCGGCAGATACATATTTCGATAGAACTTGATGAGATTAAAAGATACGTAAAACGTTACTGTACATGTAGCAGCCACGCAACATTTAAAAGATAAACTTCTGCCACGTCTCGCAATGTTCAACATTGTATTTCGTTCCCAAGTATTCCCCGAAGATCTCCAATCAGTCGCGACCGATGTCATCAGTGTGCGAAGTGCTTCCATCGGATTAAACGTGATGTATATCAGTACAAATAGAAATTGTCACAAAAAATCATGCAATAAATTTATATAAAGAGGACTGTTTTGTACAATAACAGTCCTAGACTTGAAGGAGTACACATCCTTGACATTTGTATTATGATAAATATTAATTCACATATCGTCGTAAAACAATTACTTACTTTCACCATGATACCATGTAGCAACTAACTTGCACAATGCCATCAAGCTAAAGTTGGCGGAAGCTACGTACTCCACCATCCGGCCCACGTTACCCCAAGCACGAAACATATTCGTCAATTGCGGCACGATCACGTAGAGACTCAAAATACAGGTAACGATTATGAATCTTATATTTGGTCTAAAAATATTCAAAGAGACTTGCGGATCAGGCCATACGCCTAACAGCCGCAAACATTGACGGCTCAGGGTAAACGCGTAACTCAAATCTAAGAAATTCAAATTTTATAAATAATGTTATTACTGAATGTTAATTCGGATACAATGTGTTTTTTTCTGAAATGTTATTTTTAAATATTTTCTTTTCTTATATATGTATTAATTATTTATTAATGAGTTTATGAACTGTTTAATATTTTTTATTCACGTTTCATGAAATCGTAGACTTGACACTAAACTTTTCTTGAATTTGTACACTTTAGTATAAAACACTATAAAAATGACAACTAATATTAGGCTTATACTCGGTAATAAATAATACTATAGATAGATAATGAATAAAAAGAAAAATTTAATTCCATTTTGTTAAAAAAAGGTTTTATATTTTTAACAATAATTTATTTGTGCTTTAGAATACACTGTTTCTACATGTACAGTTTATGTCTAATGCTCTCTTCATTTAAAGGGTAAATCTTTTTTTGCAAGAGACATATTTCTGCAAGATTTTACATTATCGTCCTAACGTAAAATTGGTGTTTCAATTTTGCTTTATTTTCCTAGAAAATAAACTTTTCTGCAACTTTGCTTATACGAAAGGAAACAGGAAATGAATCGTGTACAACTCAGTCATTTGATTTATGCACTAGGCAACTTTGCAACTAAAAAACATGTTCAATCTAAGCGTAGAAAGCAAACATTTTTTGCTAACGTACGAAGTTTAATATCAACTCTGACAAACTTTCATGAAACATGAAGTTTTAGAAGTGATCTATAGACGACTACTATAGACCATAAACTCTTGCGAGCGTTTGTAATAAATAGCTATTTGTAAGAGCAAAATGTTTTCTTTATTTAATAAATAATCTTTAATTATGTGATTATTATTATATATTATTTGCTCCCACATCTTCGTTAGTTAATAAACGTTTAATAAAGAACATGTTAAGTAAGAAATCAGATATAGTCACTTCAGGCAAAAAAACATTTTTTTTATGTTAAAATATATAAGCACACATATAAAATAAAAATGAAATATTTCAAATTTAATCAGCAACAGTATAACATTAAAAAAATATGAAAGACAACATATATTTTCCGATATATATCCTGTAAAAAACAACATATATAACATAAAGTAAATTAGTTTGTAATTTGTACGTCTTTCGTAAACATGCGAGGATAGTAGTTTAATGATAATTAATTTTTACCGGAATTTTTTTTATGAAAGTTTAAATATATCGCACACATACACACATTATCAAAAACATGTGATTTTATATTGTACTTATTATTATTTATTATTACGTAACTATTTTACGTAAAACAATTATATTTTTAGTAGAAAATATGCGAATTTTTTGCTATTTTGTGCAAACATATTCTACCTTTATTGACATTCATTGATGTTGACAGAGCGAAAATTATAGTTAGACTGAATCGCTCTTCGCGTATGTACTAAATCACCGTAACTTCGCGCTTGCTCAGTACATGGAGGATAAATCGCTACCATCTGTGAGTATCTCTTTAAACCCTTTCGAATAATTTATAATGATACGAATAACACATAATTACAGTACTTTTTGACTATAAGTTAGTTACTTGCTCGATGAGTTCTCGCAAGTTCATAAAAATATATACACACGCTTAGTGTGTGTTGGATGCACTCATAACAAGAATGAAAAAAGGAGATATTTCTTCAGAATATTGTGTATATAAAACGAAAAATGAAAGAATGCAAATATTTTGTTAAAGAAGGAAACGGAACACAGTTAAAGTTGATCTGTGTATGATGTAAACGATTCTATATAGTGGTTTTTTTTTTGCATTTTTAAATGAAGATCGTTGTGTTAGTAAAATATAAAATATAAACTTTTTTGAATTATATTTTTTTTAATGTGTGTCATATTGTGTATATAATGTGTATTATATTTTTAATGATAAAAATGATGGATAAGTTAGCATATACAAAATATATTATTAAGTGACAGCTGATAAAACTTAATAATAGATACGTGTGGCATTATGATTAATTTTATGAATTGTATCTATACGTACTTTAAGATTTAATAATGAAATAAATGCTAAATGGACACTTTAATGGTATCTTTTTATCTTATTTCATAAATTTATGTGAATTTATAACGGATTACATTCATATAAATTACTGCTTTTTAAAAACACTTTGCGTTATTTCTAATATAAATATTTATCATTGTAATAGTTATTGCTAATAATTTACTAATTGTTAATTTTGTACTAACAATTCATAAATAACAATTTGTAGAAAAATAATATCAGAGTAAGAATGTTTTGGGTTTTTATCGATTAAAATTATATTAGATTTACAGTCTTTTTTAATATAGTGTAATAATATATTTTTATATGAAGATATGTATATAGAAAACGTGATACCAACTAAGGCTTACAATTAGTTTTAAAAAGTCTCTGACAAACTTGTGTTATACATTTATCTCGACTAATTGTAAGTTTATTAAAATAGACATAAAAGAATACAATATCCTCTAATTCTTTAATAAAATAAAATTTATCTTAATAGTTTTTCATATTATTTAACGTAATTTATTTTAAATTGTTTTATTATATGTAATGTTTTATTTTTATATTAATTATGTGTATTCGAAATGAATTTGAACAATAAATATAAAATATATGAAGTTATTGGAAATCATTCAATAGTTTAAAATACGTAAATATTTTACTTACTTTTCAAATTCCGAAACCAATTGTCTCGAGAGAACAAGACCTCGAAAAAATTTTATTCTTCATAAATTTGATTTGTTTTATATCAATGTTGTATAATCATCCTTTATTATAGGTTGTACTACGACTAGATTCCAATTATATTGGAACACTTTGTATTTCTATAATCGACGCATTGACGATGATTCTATTTTTATATTAGTAACATTCATAACTCATATACATTATTTTAACCACTTCTGATTATATTTTATATTATCTCAATATATTAAATTAAATTATATAACATAAAAACCGCAAGATTGAGTAATTAACATAACGATAAGTTCTGTGATATATTAATCGTTTATTAAATAAATAATTGATCTATAATTTTCTATAATAATTGATCTAAAATATTTGTATAATTTAATATTTCGCTTGGTACAATTAAAAATTATTTTAATTAATAATTATCGACTTACTTTTCCTATATGCCTTCCAGCTGTCATGTATCTAAATGCAGACTCGACTTCGTCTCTTTGGAAAACTTTCCTGCTAATTGGCTTGATGGCTCCGCTAATAAGACCATTGACTAGCATCTTATTCAATACCGTTTTTTGTTCAATACCACGCTTTGTAGCTGAAAATAAGTTGTCCACCATAACGCTGTAAAATGTAATACCTTTCGAAAAAACTGACAAGTCCAACATATTATTAGCCATAAAATCAAATTTTCCAATTTCCAAGAAACGCCCTCTTCTCGCGAGACAACGAATAGAAGCCTGAAGTTTATCTTCAGCTAATGAGTTCAATACGAGATCTACACCGCGACCCTCGGTCTGTCGAAATATCATTTGCTCGAAACTGGTGTCGTGCGAATTTCCGATATGATTCTCTGGAATAGATGGAAAAGTCTCTCTTATAAACTTTCGCTTTTCCAAAACTTATTTCAAATATGCATTGTATGATTGTATCGTTTTCAAGAAAAGTGGATAGGATGTGGCGGTTCAGTTGCATGGCCACTTCGCTCACCGGATTTTAATCCGTTAGACTTTTATTGATGGGGACACTTAAACAACATGGTGTACGCCACATCATTTGACACATTGGACGAATTGATACAGAAAATTGAACGTATTGTTGTCAACAAATACAAAATAAATCTGGTATCTTTGAACGTGTTCGATCTTTAATGAGAAAGCATGCCGAATAATGTGTTAAAACGGAGAGCACATCGAACATCTGCTGTAGATTGAATTTATTTAATAACAGAAAGCATTATAATTCGGCAATAAATGGTTTTTGGAGTACTACTTATTAAGACTTTTTGATTTGTTTTTATGAATACTACATACTCTTAATATTGGGTACCACTTTTTTTGAACATCCTGTATAAAAGTACCTGTAACTTTGTTATAAATGCTGTTACTGATTCTTTTGGCCCACTTATAGAGCAAGTATTATGACTCATATTGCAGATTATATCAATATCCGGTGGACATATGTTCTTAGCATTTTCATAACTAAGATCAATGTTCGCCATGGCGCCATGAACTATTTTTGTTTCACTCAACGCCAATCCTATATAATACGAGGAGAGAAGCACTTGTTCCATTGTAAAATTACCAGTCACGTATCCGCAACAGAGTTCGCCGATCGAATGACCGACAACATGATCTGGCACGATATTTACGGATTTTAAAAGATCGATTAATCCGATCTAAAGAGAAAAGTAAAGTATCATTTTTCTTAAATTCTGAATAAATTATATAATTTGCATGATTTACGCGACAATTAGAATGGATAATTCATCACCTGCATTACAGTAATACCAACTAACGAGTTCAATATACTGTTAAAGATTGCTTCGTGTTTACTTGTTAATACATCAATGATACGCATTCCATGTGTCCTCAAAATAGTATCGCACTTTTTTACAGTTTTATAAAATGTCGGGAATCGCAGTAACGCTTGACCTATTAACGTAAAGATTGAAATAATTTGATTGTAAAGTATTGTTTCTTTGATATATATATGTATATATATGCAAAGTAAAATGCGTACCCATGCCAGGCCATTGCGATCCTATTCCGGAAAACACAAAACAAATTGGCTTTCTTTTACCTGAATAATGTTGTATTTCTTTCATCATTTTTATCGATGCTTTAGATTCGATAATTGCGTACCCTCTATAAGGATGACCTTGTATATCGTCAGCGTGAAGATCATGCAACAGCCGGATATATTCGACGTCTATCGGCTGATTCTTGATCTAATATACAAATTTATTTATTGATTTTAGTATAAAATATTTTGTATAAATATGCTTTTTTTTATCGGTGAATTAAAACGCGAAAGTTTTGGGTACCTCATTTAATAATGATTCGATTGCTTGTTCAGTACGACCAGATACAACGACGAGTCTTGGTATATCATCATTTGGCGCTCCTCCATTAATTTTTTGCTTCAAGTTAGATTGTAGCAAAATATGACAATTGGCTCCGCCAATGCCAAACGAATTAATACCCACAAAACCGGGATTCCATGGTGTTGGAGTATTCACTACATGAATACTTCCATCCTCAAAAGCCTTAACACCTTTCCGTACTTGTGTGAAATTTATATTCGGCGGAATTATGCCGGTTTGTATTGCAATTATAACCTTACGAAAAATAGTTTCATCAAAAATCTTTCTTTGCTCTTTCCTCTGTCTCATTTTTAAATTATAATTATTCGTTAGAATTAATGCATTAAAAAAAAAGCAAAAGTAATATTAGCTTTATTTAAGTATTAGCTTTAGTTAAATAATTAATAGATCTATATACTCGTATATGATGTCTTTCGCACTAACAATGAGATAAATTATTGGAATACTTTACAGTGCATATTATAATTTATATTTTTTACCTTAGCAATTTGACATAAACCTGCAGCAGCTTCAGAGTGACCCAAGTTTGACTTGACAGAACCAATTAACAATGGAGTCTTCCTATTCTTGCAGACAACTTTCTCAAGTGCATTAATTTCTTCCGGATCGCCAACTTTGGTACCGGTACCATGAGCCTCCATAAAAGCTAAGCAAGATGGTGATATACTGCATTCATCGTAAAACTCTTGAAGCAAAGCTTCTTGCATTTTGCTGGACGGGAAAGTAATGCCTTGTTCTTTGTATCCGTCACAATTTGTCTTGGCATACACAATGGTTGCATAAATTCTCTTAGCTTTCTTTGCTTTTTGCAGGTATACTATACCGATTGTTTCGCTACGCATATAACCGTTTGCGTTTTCATCGAAAGATCTACAAATTCCGTTAAGCGATAAAACTCCTAGAATCAAAACAGTTATGAATCATAATATACATATATTGTAATATATTGGAGTATATATTTTTAAATTGTTTTCGAATTTATATATCTCTTATAGTTTAAATTTTTAACATTCAAAGAGAGAACAATACCAAGTCGTGCGAATTGCAAGGATAAATTGGGATGTAAGCAGAGATTTGCACCACCGACGATAGCGGCGTCACACTCCCCCGATCGCATACTTTTATAAGCATGTTCGATAGCAAAGAGACTTGAACTGCAAGCGCTATCGATTTGATAAGACGGACCTGTTAT